GGGGGGGGGGGGTGGAAGCCCTCTTGGCTAAACAGGGAAATCACGGTCCTCTTAAGAAAGAGGCTTATAAACAATAGAAGCTTGGGGCAAGCCCCAAGGAGGACTATTTCATGACAGCCCGCATTTGCAGAGAACAGATAAGACAGGCTAAAGTAGCAACCGAACTTAGATTAGCAATGGGAATCAAGGACAACAAGAAGTCCTTCTTCAGGTACATAGGGAACAGGAGGAAAACAAATGGGAGTGTGGGGCCATTGCTCAGCAACTCAGGAGAGCTAGTTACCAGCACCCAGGAGAAAGCTGAACTCATGAATGACTACTTCACCTCAGTCTTTCACTGGACCAGGGGGAAACCATGCCAGGTAGACTAGAGAATGAGCATGATAGGAATAATCGCCTTCCTACTATTTCCATAGAATTGGTGTATGACCAGTTAATAAAATTAGACATATACAAGCCAGCAAGACCAGATGATCTTCATCTGAGAGTGCTGAAGGAGCTGGCAGAAGTCATCCACAACTTGTGGCACTCTGGAGAAGTCCCTGAGGACTGGAAGAGGGCCAATGGTGTGCCCATCCGCAAGAAGGGCAGGAGGGAGGACCTGGGTAACTATAGGCCAATCAGCCTAAATTCCATCCTAAGGAAAATCCTAGAAAAGTTCATCAAGGAGTCTATCTGCAATAAGTTTTCAGAAGATAAGATCCTGAATGACAGCCAGCATGGCTTCGCTGTGGGCAGGTCTCGCCTTACCAGCCTCATCTCCTTCTATGACCAGGCAACTTGCCACCTGGACACAAAAGAGCAGGTTGACATTGTATACCTAGACTTCCAAAGGCTTTTGATTTAGTATCCCACGATGTCCTCAGTTGAAAATTGGAGGATTGTGGGCTTAACTCCAAAACAGTAAGGTGGGTGAGAAACTGGTTTCAGGATACGACCCAGAGAGTCATAGTGAATGAATCTGTGTCATCCTGGTGAGAAGTGGGCAGCAGTGTCCCACAGAGGTTGGTGGTCAGTCCAGTACTTGTCAACATCTTTATTAACGATTTGGATGTGGGGGTAAAGAGCTCACTGGCCAAGTTCACGGACAACACCAAGTTATGGGGATGTGTGGTCATGCTTGAAGATAAGCTACAATTACAGGCAGATCTAGACAGGCTAGGAAGTTGGGCAGATCAGAACCTGATGAAGTTCAACGTTGAGAAATGTAAAGTGCTCCACCTCCGGATGAGAAACCCCCAACACACCTACAGGTTTGGCAGCACCAAACTGACCAGCACCACGAATGAAAGGGACCTGGGAGTAATAATAGACCACAGTATGAATATGAGCCAGCAGTGCGATGCTGTAGCCAGTAAGGCAAATAATACTCTGACATGCATCAATCGATGCATCTCCAGCAAAGCCAAGGAGGTGATTCTTCCGCTGTACTCAGCACTGATGAGACTGCAGCTGGAGTACTGCATCTAGTTCTGGGCACCACACTTTAACAAGGACGTGGACAAGATTGAGAGAGTCCAAAGGAGAGCCACCCATATGATCAGAGTCTTAAAAGGTAAGCCATACAAGGAAAGGCTGAGGAATCTGGGACTCTTCAGCTTGAGGAAAAGAAAGCTAAGAGGGGACCTGGTAGCAGCTTATCATTACACTAGGGGAGTACATCAAGGGCTTGGTGAGCAACTGCTCACCAGGGCACCTGACGGGAAAACCAGGAATAATGGCCACAAACTCCTGGAAAATTGATTCAAGTTCAACATTAGGAAAAACTTCTTCAGTCAAAGTGTCCAGACTGTGGAATAAGCTCCCTCCAGAGGTGGTGCAACCACCTACCCTGGAAATCTTCAAGAGGAGACTAGACAGTCACCTTGTTCGGGTCACCTGACCCCCAGTTATCTTTCCTGCTTGGTGTAGGGGGCTGGACACAATGATCTTCTGAGGTCCCTTCTGGGCTTACAATCTATGAATACCAGTCAGTCCTGGTAAAGTGTGAAGCACTGTTGGATAGCAACTGTGGAACTGCCAAACTAATGCAAAGTGGAGATGCATCTAAATGAACATTAGTCAGCAGTAACTTAATGTGCACGCACTTTCAAATAGGAGTACAGAATATGCATTACCTGACTAGCTAATTTACTCTAAAAACTGCATTATGTGCATTTCAATACAAGTTCAGTTTCCTCTTGTAGACAACCCTAAGACTCTTGAGTCGCTTATGAAAATAGAATTTATCCTAAGCCTCTTAGACCTTTTTGAAAACTCACAAACAAGCATACACAATGTAAATGTCTAAGTGTAAACTTATTTAACTAAGACAAATTTCTGAAAAATTATTTGGAAACAGACCTCAATGTGTTCATGATTTGGTGGCACTGGTAGAAACTGAGGAAGTCTCTTGCTCAGCCACATGGTAATGTCTCTATTTGTATTAACCGCAAAGGGTTCATAACCTTCTTGTAAGCCACAGATAGTGAAATATTTCAAGGTGCTGACATCTTTGCCAAAGTTCATTCTTCCCACTTGAGACGAACCCAGGCTGCACACAGGTATAAATCCTGCAAAAAGAAAGAGGAAGACACATAAGCAATTTCTGTATCACACATAAGAGAAAAGTATTTTCTTAGTAAAATTCATTTAAGGTTTAAAAATGCCCGAAACCTAAAAGAATAAACTCCAGTAATTGGATCCAATATGCTAGATCCACAAAATCTTCTGATTATAAACCTCTCTACAAGGAGCACCAGACAGAAATGATACTTTAACCAATTCACTTTAAAGAAACACCAGGAAATACTGACAGGACGTGACCTGAACTGGAGTGATTAGGAAGTGATCAATTATAAGAAGAAATTCCCTGCTGGTAAAATCAGAATTGCCAACTCTCACATGTTATCGCAGGTCTTATATTTTATGTTTCTTGTGAAGTGAACCTCCAGAACCATGTGATTTTGAAAAAAACCCAACTTTCATTAAAAATATATAAAATATACTTATTCCTTGTCCTAATGTTTATGAAGAACTACTTGTAAACATGTTCCATATGTACCTTAAAGATTAATAAAACAGAAGTTTAATAAAATAGATATTATTATTATTGTTTTATGTTAGTTTCATGGTACTTTGGGATGCATGGTTTTGAATGCTGAAGGTTGGGGCCATAGTATACTGCAACTTCACTGAGTTGTGTAAGTTGTCTAAGTGGAGACTGTTGCAATATTGGGGAACAATACTGGAAAAGGATAGGGCTGCAGTTGCCACATATCTAAGGGATGATCCCATTCAGTAGTATATGAAATTCACCCCTGTTCTAAGAGTCAACATAAGGTTTGTGTAACACTGAAAAAATTATATCCAAACTTCGTTCAGGATAGGTGTATTCTGTTATTTTTTTTAAATTATGAAAACACATGTTGTTTCCTTTCCTCTTTCTTCTACTTCTCCTTCTTCTGATCTTCCATTCCCATCTAAAAATAGCACAGCAAACTTATTTCAGCCACCAACTAACAAAAACAAATAATGCTCTTTACATACAAGTATAACTTCACAGCCACAGTTGTTACTGCTATTTGGTTTAACTTCCAGACTTCAACACTCCTTACATTTTATTATAAATAAGACATATTCACTGTCATGTATGTGTGTGTTAAGCACAATTAATATAAATCCATAAATTACAAGCCACAGATTCCAGTTGGTAGATTCAGATCTGAATGTTTATATTTATGGCATGGTCCTTAATCATAAGACATCAGCTTCTCACACATATAATGCATATTGCTCAAGTCAGTATGTGCATTCTGCTACTTCAAATTTAGTGTTAATATATATCAACTACTTTCCAAAAGTAAATTTGTATTACTGTGAAAAAATGTTAAGCCATATATAACTAGAATAATTATATTACATAAAGTGTGTGTGTGTGTGTGTGTGTGTGTGTGTGTGTGTGTTTAAGCTAATGTTTGTCAAGAAATTCAACTTATTAGGAAGCTAGTATGCATCCTGCTGAGTTCCAGGAACCATGAATATTGCAACTGTTTAAGCAGAGACAAAAATCACTACTATGTCTGTAGTAAGTAGAGAAATATTGATGCTTCATTCAGGAAGAGTAGCTCTGGTGAGCAACTCTCTCTGGAGTCAGTCTGAGTAGATCCAGGAAGGGTGTTCAGGGAAGCACAGATCACTAGAATATAAACTCATCCATTGTACATTTGGTGGGAAAAAGTCATTTAGATAAAAGTGTATCAAGGATATGCTGGCCAATCTAAGGGTGTCTATACAGATGCTCAAGGATGGGGGCTGGGGCGTTTTAACTAGAGTGGCTCCTGGACAACCACTCTAACTAAAACACTGCAGCATCACATGTATTTAGCTCCTGTGTGTTTAAAAATGGCCAGGGACACTTCATCTAAAGCTTATTTGATGAGGTTTAGATAAAGTGGCCTGTGGCCATTTTAAAACACGCAGGGGATCAATACACACGATGCTGCAGTGTCTAATTAGAATGCAGAGCAAACGCAGGTAATTGAGTTTGCTCCAACACGTTCTAATTGGAATGCTGAGGAGCACATGTATAGGCAGCATTATAGCCTACCACCCTTTAGTTTTCTTCCTTACTGAAGTAAAGCATTTTAGGAGCTCTCAAGATGACTGGGAAAATATAAATATCAAATATACTGACGCAGAATTGTACAGTACTGCACAGATATGCCAGAGGGAAAAGAAACAAAAACATATCTCCCCTTCTCCCCGCCACCCAAGTACAGTAATTAGGGGTGAGAGTCCAAGGCATGAGCCGCAGGCACACAGGAATCAAGCGCCGGATTTCTCTTATCCTCCTCGGCCCATCCTCCCCACAATAGCATCCCAAGTTAAGGATAACAAAACATTGTTTTTTAGATATATAGGGAGTAAAAGGAAGGCCCAGACTGGAATAGGACCTCTACTAAATGGGCATAAGCAATTGGTGACGAACAGGGGGGACAAGGCTGAACTCCTCAATGAGTTCTTTGCTTCAGTGTTCCTAAGCGAGGGGCAAGACAAGTCTCTCACTGGGATTGTAGAGAGGCAGCAGCAGGGCAGCAGACTACCAAGAGTAGACCCTGAGATGGTGCAGAGGCACTTGGAGGAACTGGATGCGTTTAAGTCGGCAGGCCCAGATGAGCTCCATCCGAGGGTACTGAAGGCACTGGCTGATGTCATTCCACAGC